ACATGTGTACATATGGATCAGGTTTAATTTGATTGGATTGATGCTTATTTTGGTAGATTTCTTTTCAAGATGGTGAGAAAATTTTCACATTCCTGAAAGGAAAAATGCTACTATGAACAAAGTTTTACTAGTGATTATTTTTTTTTATTTTAATGGAGTGCAAAATGTTTTTGTATTCAATAATCTTTGTTGTTTACAGAAAAATCTTATTGGGATTGCTGGATAAATGCCAATGATTAAAAAGCATTCTTTCTTCATAGAAAAATTTGAGTTATTTTTCTGCTTCTTGCTCATTTACCATACAATTCCTCATGCTTACAGCTTAAGTTCACCTGCTTTGAGGGGACATCAAATGCAAGTGCCCCCTTTGACTGTCTTGTTCCACAGATAAGCAAATATGGCATTAAAAGAAAGAAATAGATTCAGCAAAGAAACTGTCAATTTTGTCATGCAGGCTGAAAACAATATGGCTCTCATTTCAACAAATGAATTTAGAATTTTTATTTATGCTGAAAGCAATCAAACTTAAGACTGAACCATGAGACATAGTTAAGGAGGATGATGATGATATCAATTTTAAGTGATGCCTTTAATTCATGTCATTATAGTGGTCAAGAACAACAGTGTGTGTATGTAGAAAATTATGTTCTTATTTGCAATATTAGGTTTTAACAGGAAATCAAACAGAAAATCTTTTTATTTACAAAAACAAATGCTATATAAGGTTTTAGCCTTATCAACACTCTTCATTTTGAGTGACTGCAATAGATATTTGTTTAAATTTCCAGCACAAGTTTAGTAAACAGTGTGCTATTTTTGTGTGCATCATAGAATTTTGTGTTGCTCAATACTAGATTTGTACAATTTCATTTTTTTTGAAAGAGCTAGAAAATATTTATTTTTCTAAAGTCAAAACCTGATTTTTTTTTTTTTTTTTTTTTTAACTTAATTTAAACATTGACAAGAAATAGACATCAACTTGATCAGAGTGTATTTACCTCCCACTTGGTACAAATTGACTTAATCATTCTCATATAATTATTTTAATTTTTAAAACTTACTAATATTTTTTTCATATTTATAATTAAATTTCCATAATATCATTACTTTTTTGCAAATTTTTTTTCATGTCCACTCATACTAATTTCTGGACTTTTTATTCGTCAGAAAAAATAAAAATACTTTCAATACAATGAAAGACATACTATTCTCTAATTCTGTAGAATTTAAAGAAAAAAAAAATTCTTAGAGTAAAATTGTTTTACAGGCTTAAATTTTCCCCTCAGCAAATATACCAAGCCATTTTTTTCTTTTCATCATCATGACTAAATATTGCTTTGCTGCTCAAAATGTTAACTACGACCTAGCATAAGGACTCAGAGCATCTGTACTAAAAATCTGGTTGGACATGATCAATATAGTATATATATTCTTGATTTTAAATAGTACAGTTTGTGTCTGTTTCAGTTTGCAATCTGTGTGTGACAGCTTTTGTATAATAGCCAACAATAACAACCAAGTATATCCAGAAGAACCAACAAAAAATAAATCTTGTACTTGTATATAACCTTTTCTTTTCTTTTTTCTTTTTCTTTAAGATAACTTCACTATGTAATTCTTTTGGCTTTTTTGTTTTTATTAAAGGTACCTGGCTTTAATAGAATTAAACTGCAAATAGCTCCCAAACTTTTATTCATAAAGCAGCAGGTTTGTTAGTTTTGAAGGAAATGAACAATTGTTCTGAATGCTGTTTGCAGATCTTGCCACAGCTGACTGAAGTGTTTTACTCCACTTGTCTAATTTTCTAGTTATTAAATAAACTAAAAACATGGGGCATTAGTGTTTTAGTAATGTTACATGAAAGCTGTTATGTGTTCTCAGTTCAAGGCTAAACAAACAAATCAATCATACTAACTGACCCTGGACAGTGTCCAACTAATTTGATGCTACATAATGTCTTGTAGAGGAAGAGTCTTGTTATTTAATTGGTAAAGTTTGACATAAAATTTATCACTTTCTGTGTAAATGCATTCAATTTATATTTATACATAATATTCACATTAGTCTTTCTCTGATCTGATATCTCAATGCCATAAATAATTCTCTTAAATTCAAACCCATTTTATTATTTTTTACTGAGCTTTAAAAATTTAATCATAATATTAAAAGCCCATTTAATTTGAAAAGGATAAATGTTTTTTGTAATAGATTCATTTTTAAATTGCTTCCTGTTCTAATTTTTGAGAATAATTTCACAAATGTTATATCAACTCTAAAAACAAAAAATAGAATTTCCATCAAACAAAATGCTTAAGTAATATTGATTTGTAATCATTTTCTTTTATACTGAATCTGACACAGTTTTTCTTTCTTAATCATTACTGTTGCTTCATTTCTCAATGTTATTTCACTTTATTCATGACCAGGGTGAAACAAATGAGTTCTATATATTGTTAATAGACATCATTTTCTATAAAACTTGCCTTGGTAATCCTGTTTTGTCAGGAATCATCAATTTTACTTTTCCTTACAAAAGACCAATTAACAAAATAAAAAATATAGTAATTTTATACTATTGAAAGTGTTTTACTCAAACAAAGACTGCATATGAAAGTCATTCACTAAATAATCTTTTTACACTTAGTTGTATAGTGTCATTATTAGAGTCAAAATGTTAATGTTCATCTTCTGGGCGTATGTCTAATATTTGGCAACCACATTGAGTAAAACCATGTAAGATGTTTGTATATTTTTTCTTAATTCAGTCTAAATATTTGTAATTAGATTTCAGGAAAAGATAGACTTTTTAATTTTATTGAATATATTTTCTTTTTAATTTATGCACTCAGTTGTTCTATAAAGAAAACCAATAAAACTTGATACTTAAACTATGATTATGAAATACAAGGTGCATAATGACTTGTATGATTTTAATAAACTACCATAAATAAATAGTTAAGCACTTGTAGATTTTGAATTGTTGTCTTGAGAATGCTGAAAGCAAATGTTTTATTTCAAGCGCAAATCTCTCTTAATGTATTTGCTATGCGGATATTGACTCGAAATTGTACATTTAAATGGGTTCAGTTGCTCATAAGACCCATACTGAACTAAGATAAAAAAAAAATTAATTTTGTATTTATTTTACCAAAACAATATGACCAAATACATTGCAAATTGATTTTTACACAACTTTGTTGATGCAAGCTTTTATGAAATGAAGCATCATAAACTTTATGGTTTGCTACTTTAGTATACGCATATACAAACTTCTCACTTCAGCAATCTGCACATGCAGTAAAACACATTTTAACTGAATGTACTCACTTAGCCCCTGTAAGACATAAATACTACAAGGAAAATAACAAGAGAGAACTAATTAAAAATACTGAAACTGTCAACATAATGTCCTACCTTAAAGAAATAGGTTAATACTAAAATATATAACACCTACAATAGAACATCTACAAACTAACTATAAAACATGTTTACCCTGAAAGTATAAAATTATATACAATATGTCGGTAGTTGAAGGCATAAAATTGCATACTGAATTTAAAGATTTTGATATTAAATAACCTATGGTGGTTGGTATACTGCTAAACAAAAATAACTAAACGAAACATCTTATTTCAATGACTATTATTATATTTGTCACTCTTTTGCCCAGTTTTATATGAGTTGCTTGTATTATGAAAATATTTAAGTGTATCTATAAAATTGTCTTGCTTGGTGGTGTCATAGTTTGTTTTTTACCCTCCTACTTAAAAGTAAAACAAAATTTTTATACATGTGTAAGTGTGCTTATATATGTGCACAGGAGTTTCTGTAAAGCACCTGCTTATGTGCTTAAATACTTTTCTCTCTTTTCTGTCTTAACATGAATCTTGAATGCATCTGTTAAATAGATTTAAATGACAATGATTTTCATCTGTCTATAAATGAAATTCTGTTGTTTTTAAACTTGTACAAATATATACACAAGATGAAAACAAAATTTATTACAAGCCATCAAGATTTGCTGAAGATTCATTAAAGTTTTTCTGAGTATGTTATACAAGGGTTTTTTTGTTTTTTTTTTTTTATTCATTTTGGACAAGTAAAGTATAAATTCAATTCAGAGTAAAGTGGTTGGACATAGGTAGCTAGAAATCAAATTATTCAGAAAACAGAGCTTTGATTTGATATTTGTTAGATAAGACTAATTTTGGTTTAGGGCTAAAATTTGAATAATCCCCACACAAGCAATTGTTTGCAAAACTAGTGTGATGCTAAACATTGCTCTATGGTATGTTCTCTGAAAAATTATTTTTATTGGGATTTTGTTATTCAAATAATGATTTGGTTCTCTTAGAACACATTATGTTTAAAAATACAATTTATTCAATGACATACACACTTCCTTTGAACAAAAGATCTTATTTGCAAAGTTGATATCTCTGATAGGCTAATATTTACCTAGATGCTGTAAACAACCAGTATTTATACTTAGCCCAGCTCCATAAATGTAAGTAGGATTGGTTTGAGGAATCAGAGAGCTGAGTTCAAATTTCATTCGAATCCATTATATTCACTTACATGCTAATATCCTTGGGAAAGGTATGAATACTCTTCTGTCCCCAGCTATGGGTAACTAGCAGGACAGACTGGGTTCTATAGCCTTGGATGATAACTGGTCTACTGCAGAAAGAAATGGCAACCTACTGTGAAAAAAAGAAATTTGCCTTGTCAGTCATGTATTGAAAGATACGTGATCGCCTAAGCGTGTATCACGCATGGTACATAACTGACTGGTGTTATATACCATCAAATGTCGTACCTAATAACGCTTAGACTTTTATATTAATGAAACCAACATTTTACTATTTTATACAGAGTAGAGGTTTTTTTTTTTGGTTTTTGATAGTGCCTTATTTTTTGTCTATCAAATCCATACATTTTTAGACAATTACTCTTTATTTGTTATCAATTCAGTTTTGTTACTTTTTTCTTGTTTTCAGTTTGGAAATACGTGTTACTGCAACTCGGTCTTGCAAGCGCTCTACTTCTGCCGTCCGTTCCGGGAAAAGGTTCTTCAATACAAACAGCAACAGAAGAATCAAAAGAAGGAAACTTTATTAACATGTCTTGCCGACCTTTTTTACAACATAGCCACCCAGAAGAAAAAAGTCGGCACTATTGCTCCCAAGAAATTCATTACCAGATTACGAAAAGAGAACGGTAATTATATATTTTTTTTTTTTTTTTTTTTTTCCAATCTTCACTTCCATTTTGGTTAGGTTAATTTAAAAACTTTTTAGCAGAAATAGTTTTTCAAATAGCATCTGCTTTCACAGTGACGGTTTAAAAATTCCACTGGATTCCATAGTTCAGTGGGATTTTTTTATGATATTTAATTTTAATTAAGCATTAAATATTGCAGAAATTTTTTAAGAAATATCTTTACTTTCCAAAATGTATTATTACAGTTTGAAAAGAGATTATTGAATTCTCAAATGTATTTTTCAAGAAATGTTTGTCTCCTAAGGCAACCAGAGAACCAGCAATAAAGATTTTTCAGTTGCTTTAACATTTTAATAAGTATTTTCTTCATATTTCATTAAATAAATGCAAATAATGTGTGAAATTTAAGATTATAAATAGGATAAAAAAATTATAGAATTTTCAAATATTATCAAAATTATTGTTTCTCTCAGTCTCATCATTTTTTCCTAAGATATTTTTATGCATTGTTTGAGTATCACAGTGGGCTCATATTGGAGGTGATTAAATGGTTATGGTGATTAAATGCTCATTAGAAGCATATGAGGGAGTGGAATACAGAAAAATCAATTTGATTAAGAAAAATTCAAAATGGGGGGGGGGGCTCCAAAGACCCCAACTTAGGGATATCAGGCTAAAATCCTGAGAATGCATTTTTAGTCATATCTTGATAAATAATAATGGTATGATGATGGTTGGGGCCTCATTGGAAGCATAGGAGGAAGTCAATGTAATCAAATTTTATTGAAATATTCAAAAATATGTCTGAGTCAAAACCTTAATTTGGGGATATTTGGCCAAAATCCTTAGTAAAACCATATAAAATATCAAATTTAGTACATCACAAATATGACACTTAATGAAATCAATATGACAAGAAGGACACCAATGCCTTGTATTCATCATTACATCTGTGAAGTGCATACTTCACAACTTCATGTACAATAGGAGCACTGTAAACATTCACATACTTTCAACACCATAGGGCCACTTTTGTCCCAGAGTCTGTTTATACAATCTGATAGGTTATCAAACTGACTAGTTTTCCTTGCATAGTTGATGCAATACTACCTCAGAAACTTGTTTGCCTTGATGCCACACTCTGTAAAATTCAGCATTCCTGTGTTGTCATTCTCTTCAATAAGTTCAGGACTGTGTGCAAGTACAATGTAAACACTGGGATTAATCTCTATCCATGAAGCTGATTTGACCAAAAAGTTTTGCTCGTTTCAAAAGCTCCAAAGCTCTGGAAACATGGCCCAATACATCAAGTTTTGCTTCAGACCATGAATGATGCACTGCAGTTGCATGATAGTATATTTTAAAAATCCAACCGAAACATCTCAATTGATTATGTAGATGATGAAGGTTGTTAATATCTTTGAAGGTAATAGGACCCTAGATGACACATTTACGAACATCATTATCACCAGTTTTATAATTTTCTGAATGATGAATCTCTGTTTTGCAAATGGCAAGTGTCAGTTCGAAAGAGCAATCAATTTTAAAACCAGATGAGATGCAGTCAGCATTATTACATTGTTCTTTACTGTATGTACATAGCAAAATGCACCTCCCAAACCAGTAACAAGACTGTGCAACTTACCATCAACCATAGACATGGTTGCATTGACTTTGACAATCATTGATTTGTTGAAATGTTGAACAACAAACTGGCTGTCCTTTCTTTCTTGCTGGATATTTGCTACAATTTTCTCTACTTTCTTTTCCCGTCAGTAGCATAACAAGGCGACAGGGTGGGAAGGATTTTCCCAAATCATTTCACCATTCAATTGTTTCAATTTTGGGTATTTTCAATAAAATTGATGTCCTCTGTATTCCACTCCTTCATATGCTTCCAATGAGCACACACCCGTCATCATGCCATTATTATTTATCAAGATAAGCCTACAAACATGTTTTCAGGATTTTAGCCAGATATCCATAGTTGGGGTTTTTGGGCCCTAGACCCCCAAAATTTTGGATTTTTCTTAATCAAATTGATTTCTTTGTATTCTACTCCCTCATGTTTCCAACAAGCACTTAATTACCATAAACAGATGAGGGATTCCCAAATTATAGGAATACTCGATTGTATACTTTTTTTTGTTAAATTGAGATTGAGGGGACCCCCAGGTGCCAGTTTTGAGGGCTAAAATTGGGCAAAAATACCATGAAATGAAGGTTTTGTGCTAAAAATGGGTTCATCACCTTCAAAAAGATATAGATAAAGGTCTTGGTCATTAAATTTGGCCAAAAATTAGACAAATTATGTTTTTGTATATGCAAGACCCCCATTTGATACTGAGAAAAGGATAAAATTTTACAAGCAAAATTTTTCTATGGAAAAGATTTTAGTAATGTTCCTAAAAGTAAATTTTTTTTTTTTTGTTTTTTTTTTTTCAACCAGACATTTTCAGAAAGGTTGCCAACTCTCAATTTTAAATTGTGAACCTTAAAAAAAAAATTAATCTCAGGGTTTTTTGCAATCATTCCTTTAAATGTAGACCTCCAGACCTAAATTTGGACCAAATTTTGGGGCAAAATTGTGTTAAAATGATGTTAAATGGCTAATTTCTGCAAAAATTGCTAAAACCTAGAAGAAATGACCCTAATCCATGCAGATATTTCAATCTTGTGTGTCTTTTGACGTCAAAATGCTTTAGAATAGATTTATTATTTTAGCAAATTACTGGCCAAATCTATACTTATAATGTACTAGCAGTAGAGCCCGGTATTGCCCGGGGATGTAACAGTAAGATAGATCAAGTATCGACCATCATAAAGATAAATTGACAAAGATTATTGTTTAAGGTTGACGGACACGCATGTCTTAATTAGTTTTTTTTTTTTTTTTTTTTTTTACGAATTGGTCAAACTCAAACAAAACCATTGTTTTCAATCATGAGTCAATCGATTGAATAGAATTTTATTATAAACAATTGTCTTGTAAGTGGAATTTTTAAAGCATTCTGAATGTAAAAATAAAGAAAAAAGTGTGCAAGACAATAAGAAACACTACCTGCCAAAAAAAAGTGAAGTTTTGTTGAAATTGGTTGAAAAATGTAGGAAATCCAATGCCATATATAAATGAACACACACAAACAACCTGGGTTTTATAATAAGTATAACTCTATATGAGTTGTCCCCCTTTCATTCTGGCGACAGAATTGTGTTTTATCATGTTTTCAAATTGATTTAGTGCAAAAACAATTGTTTTTCCAATTTTTGGCACTGTCAGAACCACTGCAAAGTAATTTTACGTAGTCCTGTGAAGTTTTGTTGAAATTGGTTGAAAAATGTAGGAAATCCGATCCAATATATAAACACACACACACACACACACACACACACACTGCATTTTATAATAAGATGTTTGCAATCCAAAACAGAAAATATAAAAAAAAAGAATCACTTTGTTCAACTCCTTAGCTGATTTTTGTTGTTATTCAAGTTTATGGACCAAATAAATCATCCTTTTATATTATGACATTTGAAAAAAAAATCATTTTCTTATGTTAACAATGAAGTTCTTGGCCTTCATATGGTATTTATGTAAGATTAAAATCTTTTGCATAATCTGATTTTTCTATTTTTTACATAAATATTTACTACCATTGAACAGTAGATGTAGCTCATAACTGATCAATCATTAATCTTTTCTCATCATTAATGTTAATTTCTCTTGCTTTTTTACTTTGTCTTCGAGTCTTATTTTCAATAACAGATCAGTATAAAATTTTTTGGTGGTGCATAATTTATGACCTCAACAGTGGCACTGCAAATTTATTAAATTTAAAGTATCAATTATAATAGTTGTAAAAAAAATTAACTTTACTGATGGAAAGTGCTAGAAAAGAATAAGAAAACTGTTGAGTGTTGTTAAATAGCTCAAATGTATATTTACTACCCAGCACAAGGATTGAACTGATAGCCTTCAACTAATGTAAACTTTTGCTTTAATAAGTTCTACTCTAACCAAAATATTACATTCCCAGCAAGAATTGGCTCTGTAAACTGTCTTATTGAGACAGAAGTCATTGATTATGAAATTCCGTTATCACTGAGCAAAAGATCTTTGAAACAAGCAAAAACTATTTTGGATTTAAGCAATGAAAGCATCATATTTGAACAAAAAATTGATGTCATGTCATATCAACTGGACACTACTACATAAATATTAGAGATGGTACTAAAGGCTTTTTTTTTTTTTTTTTTTTTTATCAGAAGGATTACATTTGTGTGGAGATCCTGATCATTGGTAGCAAACTGTCTTTTGGCCAAAAAAAAGATGTACTTTTAAAACTGCATAAACAGTTTGGACATGCATCCTATGACAGATTGTTGGCCTTGTTATGAAGTGCTGGAACATATATTTCAGATATTGAATTACTTATAAGAAAAGTTTTCACAGATTGTATCGTGTGCCATAAATTTAGAAGGCCAAAAGCTAAGCCCATTGTTGGCAAGTGATTTTAAGCAAGTTATAGCAGATTAGATCAACATTGGTAACAGAAGAAACAAAAACAGGAGAAACAAAAAACAAAAACAGGAGAAACAAAAACAATGACATCCATAAATTATAAGAATCCACTAACTTTTGATGATGAGAAATCCTACATCTGTTGTAAAACAGAAATCAAGATGTGGCAGTTACCGACTGACCTAGACATAAAGAAGAGGGTACTGGTATTAACCCTGTCACTTTGTGGAAAACCTTGATGTGGCCATGGAAATAGACCCTGAAGATTTGAATAATGATATTGGTGTTGATTATTGGAAGAACTGGACAAACTATTTTAAAAGAACAAAATAGATCCGTTCTATGCTATATAAACGGACAGAGACAGAAACATGAATATAGTTATGTGATTTTATTTGAGCAAAAATACAAGTGTAAAAAGTATAAGATAGTACTTTTTGATCTGTATTAGCATTGAAGCTCTTTGATAATGCTG